CGGGGAGAAGGGGAAAGCCCATTGTTTTTTTGGCCCGGTTTTTTTTTTGGCCCAAAGGCGGGGGGCCCCCCCCCCTCCCCCCCCCCCGGGGGCCGATTTTGTTGAAAAAAATTCAGGGGGTAGGGCCCAAAAAGGGGGGGAAAACCCACACCGGAAATCCCCCCCTTTAAAGGGGGGGGTTTCCCTCCCCCGGAGACACGGTTAATTTAGTTCCCCCTAGGGGCAGCCCTAACAAAAAAATCCCGGGCTTGTTGCATTTCAAAGCTTTAAAAGACCCCCCGGGGTTTTCTAGTTGGAAAATTTTTGCCCGGTTTGGGCCCCCCCCCCCCCCCCCCTGCCTCCCACCCTCCAACCGTACTTCAAAACAACATCACATGTCAGAGCTGCGGTAGCCCATTCCCCGCGCCCAGGCCGGTTGCCTTCGGGCTACCGCGATACTCCATGGGCCAACACGGGATGTAGTACAGCACCGATCTCCAGTGGCCATAGATGTAGCCCACATGCAAGAAGTAGTTGTACGCCGGTTGCAGTATGACGGTGCGCAGCGCGACTTGGCGCGACGGTGAGCGCCGCCACACGACGTAGTTCATGACGGCACCCTCGAGGATGCCCGTGGTGTAGATGAGGCCGTTCCACAGCGCAAAGAAGAGCCACTCGCCGTGCGTGCTGATGGCGAGCAGCTCGATGGGCAGCTGCGCGAGCACGAACCAGATGTGCCACAAGTGGAGCAGCGACGCGAGCCTGAAGCCGGCGTTGCGCCACCACTCGCCACAGTCGTAGAGCAGCAGCAGCAGCAGCCGCCAGGCGGTGCGCCGCGGCGCGTTGACGTACCAGCGGTGCGCGCGCTGCTTCCAGACGCTGCTCGCGCCATAGCCCTGTAGCCTCTCGTGGAAGCCGAGGTGGCCGACGCACGGCGGCGGCGGCAGCAGCGTGGGCGGCGCAAACGTGCGCACGAACGAGCGGTACTCCATCCCCATCCTGCAGTTGTGCAGCAGGTTCAGCATGCCGAGCCAGTTGTCCTCCCCGAACGGAAGGAAGGGATGATCGGCCATGGCGCGTTCGAAGCGCTCGCGCCGCCACAGGCCGACGATGCCGTGGCAGAACCAGATGGTGCTCCAGTGGTCGGCGAGCGCGCGCGTCGTGGAGAACAGCTTGAACTCGAAGTCGACGGCGGCTTGGACTGCGGAGCGATGCGGGTGGGGAGGAAGGTTGGGGGGGTGTGGCCACGAGCGGGGAAGGCAGCGTGTGCGCGCGTGCGGCTGCCACCGCAGCTCTCCGCGCCGCTGCTCACACACCTTGGTTCTCGTGGACCATCTCGATGCCGTAGCTGATCGCAGAGACCGCATTGTCGGTAAACTTGCCCTCGTCGAGCACAAAGTGCTCCGGCAGCATCGTGTCATCGTCGAGGTGGAGCACAAAGTCGCACGAGCGAGGCAGCTGCTGCAGCCCGACGCTCAGCGCGTTCGTCTTGTGCCCGACGCCGAGGTACCGATACACAATCTTGGGATGGACGCTCGCGACCACAGCCTTGGTCTCGTCGGGAGGGTTTGGCTCGTTACTGTTGTCTATCACCACAATGTTGCCAGGCGGGATATGTCGGATGACAGACTTGAGCGTGCGGCCAATCTCGGCCGCGGATCGGTGGCAGGGGATCAGCACGCCGACGCGAGCGGCCATGGCAGGGTCGTTCTTCCATTCGGTAGCCTCCGCGTCGGATGGCAGAGGTAGAAGGAGGAGGAGCAGGAGACGGAGCAGGAACATGGCGGCAAACACGGCGGCAAGGCGCAGATGGTGCTGGGCGAGATGCTCACGTGCCAGCTCGCGCTCCGCGAGCGTTGACTCGGCGGTGATCGTGTTGCCACTCCACGCTGCCCAAGCCAGTGGGCTCAAGGCCCACGCCCCCATGAAGAGGAGCGGAAAGATCAGGAGGCACTTGCAGAACCAGAGGCAGGCTCGCCGACTCCCGCGGTTGCGGGTCGAGGCGAGCGCGACGCGCCGCCAGCGTCCGACCAGCCAGGGCTCGGGCGAGACGCGGGTCTGGCACATTGCTCGAGAGAACTCACTGCTCCGCCTCCGAGAGAACTTGCGACTTGACCGCTTTGCGCCGCAGCGCCACCAGGGGCTTGCCCGGCGGTGAGAGCGGAGGGATGGAATCGAAAGGGGGGGGTGTGGGGCGGCCAAAACAACCGATTTATCAGACGCCGATTTTAGGTGTACTTTTTTTGCTTGGCCGGCACTCATGACGGGGTAGGTAGGGTAGGTCTGGGCCCTCCCGTCGGGGTTTTCACTCTCTTCACGCTGGAATTTTCACAGCAGAAAAAGAATTTTTTCGCCCAAATCACGATGTCGAACGCGGGCTAACTGATTTTGGCCCATGCCAAGAATGCACGCGTCGTCTTGCGCGCGTGTGTGCCGCAGTGTGAGTGGCCCGGCCCGCGCCTCGAGGCCCGCGCCCCGCCCGAGTCAGGGCACAGCGCCGTCCCGCGGCCCGGAAGTACCTCTATGGCAGTCACACCTCCTCGCGGAGCCCAATACAAAAGATGGATGTTTGGAACAGAAAGCCTGGGAAGATGAGCCGGAAATACTTCTTGATCCGCAGCTTCAGCTCCTTCATGACGAGCCCATAAGATGCACGCGCCTTGGCATAGCTCCAAATAATTCGCTCAAGCTCCGGCGGAATTGCCCTTTCCGCATCATCTGCGCATGGGTGTCTCTCCGCATGTTTCGCCTCGATAAAGGCCTTTGACGATCCGCTCGGCGCCTCTCCGCAAGCTCGACTGCGACGGTCGCTCTCCCTCAAGCAGCCGCTTTGTTGCAGTTGTCGCACCATCCAACTGCGCCAGTACGGCGTTGATGCTCCTTCGATACGGAGGCTATGGCTACCAGAGTTGGGCGTGGAAGAGGCCGTAGAGGCAGTCGGCGGGCGTCGCGGTGCCGTGCGTGACGGGCGGCGGCGCAGCATGGTCGCACAACTGTCGCGTACGCGTGGAGAAGGTGTCGAGACCGCTCCGATCCCAGACTTCTGACGCCTTTCGGCCGTCCCATGCTCCGACGAATTTAACAAACTTTAACAGTTGAGCACTTGAGCACCAGGCCAACTCGCCCCCCCCGCAAGGCACGCGATACACACACAACTCGAACAGGTTTGAGCAAAGGCCGTCTTCCATGCTCGAAATGCAGCAGGAACTTAGTTGACCCTGCTCGAAGGCCGCCCTGCTCTAAGGCCGCCCTGCTCTCGGTATTGATTGCGTTGCTGACTGATAGCACTCACTGTCTGATCCAAGCAAAAGAGCCGGGAAGAGCCGTCGAGCTACATGAGACCCAAGTCGTCGTGATGTACCAAACAACAAACGCCAACAATATACCTTAGGGGCCTAGAGAACACAACCCCCCTCTCTCTTTTCTCCCAGTAAGCTATAAGTATATACCTAAAACGAAACTAGCGCCAAAATTGAGATCTTCGCGCCTCTGGTCGGCGCAATCGCGGGCGGCAACTGCGCGCTGCTCAAGCCTGCGCGTGCGTGCCCTGCCCGATGACATTACCACCCCACCGCCACCAATGAGGACGGTGGGGGCGCAGAATGATGCTCGCAAGCAGCACAGCTGCTCCGCCGCCCTCCGCCTTGCGCTGCGCGCCACGCGTTTGCGCGCACGAGTCAGGAGCGTCGCTGCATTGGCTGCATTGGCTGCATTGACTGCATTGGCTGCATTGGCTGCACGAACCACGCTGAACGATCAAGTGCAAGATCCCGACCCACGGGGTCTGGTGGCGTGGATCTCATTCGGCAAGGTTGGCTCGTCGACGATGAGGGTGCTCCTCAAGAGGCGGGCAGTGCGCCATGGCTGGCAGGACTTCGTCCCAGGCGTAGGGTGGGTCGGCCGTGAGTTTGCGATGAGCCCGAACGACAACCTCATCTGCCACGCCAAGGGATCACGTCTTGCACAAGGGATGGACGAAACGTCGGTTGCAAAGCTCGCGCCCCCTCCATGTGCCGACGCGCCCGACGGGTACGTCGTTCAGACAGATTACGGATACTGCGAGGCGGTCGCGCCACGCCCGTGCCGCTACCTCACGATCCTCCGCGAGCCCATCTCCCGCGTCGTCTCGGCGTACAACTACTTCTGTCTTAGCTGCGAGGAGGGCGGGATGCAATGCGTGAAGAACGAGTCCAACCGTGCGGCCGCGGCCGCGAGCAACGCTATGCTGCCGCTCGATGCACACGGCCTGCCGCTAGCCATGCCGCAGGCCGCCTGCCCTCACATGTCGATAGTCGAATACGCGCTGTGGAGTGGGGATAACTACTACGTCCGGCGGCTCGCGTGTGCAAAGGCGGGCGCATGTAATGCAGTGCACGAGGAGGGGCGGCATGCGATGGGCGCGGCCGATCTGGAGGTCGCCGTACGGCGGCTTGAGCAGCCAGAGATGCTTGTGGTCTTTACAGAGGAGCTCTCAACCCTGGCCATCAGCGCGATCGAGACCTACCTCGACGACGAGCTGCCACTGACGGCCAACTCCAACGTGCACGCGCACCGCTTCACCCCGAATGCGACGGAGCTGCAGCAGCTAGGGAGCATGCGCGTCCTTGGCTTCGACGTCAAGCTCTACCGCACACTCTGGGCGCGCGAGCACGGCAGCCCAGAGGGCACGTCGACGTCGGTGAGCCCAGAGGCTGTGGGCCGGCGATTGATGGCGTCGGAGGAGGTGCAACGCGGGGAGGCGCGCGTGCGGCTCATGTGGCCCGCGGACGGCTTTGTATTGCGCCTGTAAGGGTCTGCGATCTCGCATACGTCGATGTACGTTAACCCCTTGCCCGACCCGGCCCCATTGCAGCTCGCGTCTGCGTGTGGCAGAGGGACTCCCCTTTGGGCGTTCAGGCCCAGTCCTGAAGCACGTCACCCGTGCCCAGCAGTTTGGCCAGCTTGAGGTTGTGCGGCTCGAAGAAGGCAACGAGCTTCAGCATGTAGCTGCTTGGCAGCAGCACCCTTCGCTGGTTGACAGTGGGATTGCGCCTCTCCGATAGCAGCACGTCGCGGTCGCTCCGTGGCATCATCTCCTCGATCGGCACGCCAGCCCACCGGAGCAGCGCCGAAAACGCCGCGTCGCGAGCATCACTGCCGCGCGTGTAAAATCGCTCAAACGTCGTCACGTAGACCTGGCAGTGCGAGAACGCAGCAAACCACCGCTCGAGCTGCGGCGCATACACACTCTTGCTGATGTGGTCGTGCATCGTCCATGCGCCACCGAGCCCGTCCGATCCGCACCACAAGCGATTTATTGTTGGCAACACACGCCTGTGGCAAGAGGTAGGTGGTAGGTGGTAGGTGGTAAGAGGTAGGTGGTAAGAGGTGGGTGGTAAGAGGTCGCCTCTTGCCGGCGGAAGGCCTCCATCTGCTCGTCGAGGGTCCGCATGGCGTCCTCTGCACCTGTGCCGCCTTTGGACCAGTACGAAGAGAGCGTGCGGGCCACCGGCTCGCGCAGGATGGCGATGAAGCGCATACGTTGAAGGAGCTCGGGCCTTCCCAGCTGCTCGAAGGCGGCGCGCACGCGGCCAGGGACGGTGGGGTGATAGAGGTAGTTGGGCGTGTACTCGAGCGACAGGTCGGAGCCATGCCGCATCGGTGAGGACATGCCCTGCTCGAGCCTCAGCCGCACCGACGCATCGCCGACGGTATCGTACACGTGCACCTCTCGAGAGCCATCGCACTCAACGATCTGCACCCTCTTGTTGAGCGCCTCCCAGATCGGCTCCACGTCCCGGAGCTCATGATCGTTCACGTGCCCGCTGTGTACGGTCTGGGTGAACTCTGGGTGAAGTCTGGAAAAAAGTCAGTTTGCGGCTCACCCGATAGCCAGGTGGATGACCTATGAATGGGTACCAAACTGATTTCTTTTTTTCACATTCACACCTCACGTGGAGGTGTGAAAAAAGAAAAGTCAGTTTCGAAGTCAGTTTGCGAGTTTTGTCCCACCGGTTGACCAGGTGACCGATCTCACCAGAGGGTGAGGGGAGTCACAAACTGACTTCGTCCGGACGAAGTCAGTTTGTAACCTCTCATAAAAGAATTCGAAGAGCTGAGCGGATGCTCAGTAAGGCCGCGCTGGAGGCGGTACTAGTAATTCGGGGTTTGTGGGGACGACTTTTATAAAGAAAACCGGCGAAGCGGGGCCCGCGCACGGCGCCGCGGGGGCACACACACGGCACGAAGAGTCACAAGCGACCACACACAGAACACTACGTGCCTCCCCGTCTTTGTAGCCTGGCGTTTGTGCCCCGTTTGTTTGTGCCGCGTCCCGTGCCCCCGAGTTCATTTTACATACGAAAGAACGTTCCGTTACCCGGACCGCTTATAGCTCCCGCTGGTCGCATGAGTGGCAACGGCTCGCCCCACAGCAAGCCCGAGTGCGCTATCTCGGTCGCGGCCGCGCGTTTCGTACGTCCTCCAGTTGCGCGCCGACCACGACGTCAAGTCGTACTCGAGTATTGCGCATGCGACAGGCGGTTGTTCGTCATGGTAGTGGCCACGCTGTGACTTGACGTAGCCTTGGCCGGTGGTGTGGTCGAACGCCCGTTGACCACGGAACCCGCGTTGCTTGCAGCCCATGTTTCATTGCAAGTTTGGTGAATACAGCTCCTTCCCAGAAGACCTTATCGATTCTCAGATATAATATCAATTGGAGCCCAATTTCATTAACGCAAGAGGAGGGGGGCGACCCCCCCCCCCCACCCATACGCGCACGCGCGACAAGCTGCCATCAGCCGAGGCTAAGTATCTAGATACTTACCTAATCCGGATAATAATCACTCGACAACAGCCTGGTATCTTGTGACGCGCCGGTGGCCGCTCTGAACTGTTCGGATCAAACGTGCTAGTTTCGTTTGTTTTCTGGTACATCACGACGACTTGGGTCTCATGTAGCTCGACGGCTCTTCCCGGCTCTTTTGCTTGGATCAGACAGTGCTATCAGTCAACAACGCAATGCCGAGAGCAGGCAGGGCGGCCTTAGAGCAGGGCGGCCTTCGAGCAGGGTCAACTAAGTTCCTGCTGCATTTCGAGCATGGAAGACGGCCTTTGCTCAAACCTGTTCGAGTTGTGTGTGTATCGCGTGCCTTGCGGGGGGGGCGAGTTGGCCTGGTGCTCAAGTGCTCAACTGTTAAAGTTTGTTAAATTCGTCGGAGCATGGGACGGCCGAAAGGCGTCAGAAGTCTGGGATCGGAGCGGTCTCGACACCTTCTCCACGCGTACGCGACAGTTGTGCGACCATGCTGCGCCGCCGCCCGTCACGCACGGCACCGCGACGCCCGCCGACTGCCTCTACGGCCTCTTCCACGCCCAACTCTGGTAGCCATAGCCTCCGTATCGAAGGAGCATCAACGCCGTACTGGCGCAGTTGGATGGTGCGACAACTGCAACAAAGCGGCTGCTTGAGGGAGAGCGACCGTCGCAGTCGAGCTTGCGGAGAGGCGCCGAGCGGATCGTCAAAGGCCTTTATCGAGGCGAAACATGCGGAGAGACACCCATGCGCAGATGATGCGGAAAGGGCAATTCCGCCGGAGCTTGAGCGAATTATTTGGAGCTATGCCAAGGCGCGTGCATCTTATGGGCTCGTCATGAAGGAGCTGAAGCTGCGGATCAAGAAGTATTTCCGGCTCATCTTCCCAGGCTTTCTATTCCAAACATCCATCTTTTGTATTGGGCTCCGCGAGGAGGTGTGACTGCCATAGAGGTACTTCCGGGCCGCGGGACGGCGCTGTGCCCTGACTCGGGCGGGGCGCGGGCCTCGAGGCGCGGGCCGGGCCACTCACACTGCGGCACACACGCGCGCAAGACGACGCGTGCATTCTTGGCATCAGCCCGCACAGCGCTACTGCCTGAAATAAATAAATAAAACGGACACCTCTACTAGGAGATGGGGCACAAGGAACAGGTCGCCGCCGGTGGACCTTTGTGCAGGGTTCTTTGTGGGTGTGGTCGGCAAGGGCGGGGGCCTGTTCCTTTTTACCCATCTCACAGTAGAGAGGTGTCCGTTTTTATTTATTTATTTCTCAACACCGCCACGAACTCACTCACATGGCGTGAGACCAGCCCGCCGTTCGCCGCCACGTCGAATCTGGGGAATCTGGGGAATCTGGGGAATCTGAGGAAGGGCGATCATGGGAGGTGGGGGCGCCGACGTGGGGACGAAGAGATCATCATGGTTTTCGTTCCCCCCCCCTCCCTGCCCCCCTCTCACTCCCGCGACCACACCTCGATCTTCTTGGGCAGCAGCTGGCGTGACGCGTCATCTCCGTGGCCTAAGCGGCCATATTCGCCAGCGCCCCAGGTAAAGACAGCGCCGTCGGCGGTGAGGGCGAGGTTGTGGCTAAGCCCTGCCGACACAGCGATGACGCGCTGGCCAGCAAAGGCCTCGACCTTCTTCGGCAGCAGCTGGTTCTGCTCGTCGCCGTGGCCCAACTGGCCACGGGCTCCATAGCCCCAGCTGCAGACGGCGCCGTCGGCGGTGAGGGCGAGGCTGTGGATAGGCCCTGCCGACACAGTGACGACGCGCTGGCCAGCCAACGCCTCGATCTTCTTGGGCAGCCACTGGGTTTGCTCGTCGCCGTGGCCCAACCGGCCGTCGCCTCCACCACCCCAGCTCCAGGCAACGCCGTCGGCGGTGATGGCGAGGCTGTGTTGGGCTCCAGCCGAGACAGCGACCACGCGCTGGCCTGCCAAGGCCTCGATGCTCTTCGGCAGTAGCTGCTTCTGCGTGTCGCCGTGGCCCAGCTGGCCTGTGGCTCCCCAGCCCCAGCTCCAGACAGCGCCGTCGGCGGTGAGAGCGACGCTAGCAGCTAATCCAGCTGACACAGCGACGACACGCTGGCCAGCAAAGGCCTCGACCTTCTTCGGCAGCTGCTGCCTCTGCTCGTCGCCGTGGCCCAGCTGGCCCCAGCCTCCATCGCCGCAGCTCCAGACACTGCCGTCGGCGGTGAGGGTGAGGATGTGGAAGTCTCCAGCCGACACGGCGACGACGCGCTGGCTAGCAAAGGCCTCGACCTTCTTGGGATGCCACTGGTCCTCCTGGTCGCCGTGGCCCAGCCGGTCAAAGACTCCATCTCCCCAGCTCCAGACGCTGCCGTCCGCGGTGAGAGCGAGGCTGAAATATCGTGACGCCGCCACACTAATCGCGCGCTCGCCTCCGGAGGGAGACGGGTCGGCGTGTTCAGCTGCAGCACGCCCTCGCCGTGGCCGAGAAGGCCTGGCACACCATCCTCCTCGTCCTCCTCGTCCTCCTCGCCCTCCTCGCCATCCGCTGCCGCGCCGCACGACGAGAGCCGCCCCTCGCCGTCGATGAAGACGCTGTGCCGTGCGCCCGCCGCCAGCCTCACCGGCGGGTTGAACTCGCACAGCAGCGCCGAATAGCACAGCCACCGCACGGCGCAGCCCTCGCCCTCTGGCTGCGCCGGCGGCTCGTAGCCGGCCTCTTGCAGGCGCAAGCGGATGCCTTGCTCCGCGAGCGAGGCGTGGAAGAGAAGCGAGACGGCCGCGACGCGAGCGATGTCGACGGGATCGCAGTGAGAGAAGGCGCGCACGAGGAGGTCCGTGGGGAGGTCGAGGAGGCGGGCGGGCGGCGGCGTGCTTGGCGGGGGCGCGGCGGTGGTGGCGAGGCGGCGCGAGCGGCGGCGCGGCGGGGTGGACATCGCGAGGAAAAGAATTTACAAACCCGGGCTGGTGTCTATCTGAAGCATGAAGTTACTTCAGGAAGTAAGTATTCACCGCACTATAGCACGGGCTCGCACCCCCCAACCGCTTACTAGGAACCCCTCGCCTTATTGTTTGGCCCCCCCAGGCCACACACAGACCACCAGACCGGTCACTGGGGCCGACAATTAGGGTTCAAACAGAGCCGGACTTGTGAGCCGGACGGCTTTCATTTCTCTCTGCGTTCTCGCACATGGAGTGCGAGATACTCGACTTTCTTTCCGCCCCAAACTGTCACTCCCCTTTCTCCCGGCCGGGGTGGGGCGCGCGCGGGGGGCGGCGGGTGTGCAGGATGTCTGTGGGCCCGAGAGCGGTATGTAGAAAGATGAACAACAGAGAGCGATATGACATGCCGAGAGCATACTGAGCAGGCTGCCGTCGAGCGACGAGCCATGCTGGCTCGTCGCGGGCGGCCAGCTCCGAGTCGTGAGCGGTACAGTAGAAAAAGAAATCGTGGATAAGGGGCGCCACGCAGCCGATCCACAGAATGGATGCGCTCGAGGTGCTCGTTGAGGAGGTTGTCAAATGTCCTGCCGCGGAGCTTGTCCTGCCGTCGCCCGCGGAGCCTTCGCCGCCGCCGGGTGTCTTCGCACGCCCAGCAGCGCCGGCCCAGCCGGAGGCGCTTTGCACGTCTCAGCCTATTGCTTTGCCCGGCGGCGGGCTGAGGCCGGGCCTGAGATCAAAGGAGATCAAAGGCCTGCCGGTCGCCTCCTTTCGCGTCGTCCGGCCGCGGGACGGCGAGCCGTGCGACTCCGACGCCAGCGAGGAGCTCGACGATGCCGCGTTTGAGCATCGGCACCAGCGGCTGGCTTCGATTGAGCGAAAGGGATTTTCGGTGATGGGGCGCAAGCGCGAGCCGGTGCTGACCTTGGCGGCCGCGTCGTCGGCGCCGGCGCCCTCTGGCGACGAGCGCGAGATCCGCAGAAGCGTGCAGATGCTGCTAGGACGGTGCGCCGAGCGGGGAACTGCACGCACTGCACCACTGCACCTCGCCACGCCGCAGCCGGCTCCGCCCGCGCGCGCAGGCCGCCCCCGACGTGCTGCCCGGCGTGCCCGCCCTACTTCAAGCACGTCGCGCACACCTGCGACAAGGCAAAGGCCTCCGCGGCTGCGGCGGAGGTCCAGCCACAACCCGCGTGCGCCTCGTGCCCCGCCTGCCCGCCTCGCTATCGGCACGTGGCCCACACGTGCGGAAAGACGTGCGCCGTGGCCCGCCGCGGACGTCGCCGCCTTCAGCGCGCCCGCCGCCGCCGACGCGACCCTCTTTCCCCGCTAGGTACGTGGGAAAGCGCTACGGCAAGCGGCGGAAGAAGAAGGCCGCTGCCGACACCTCGGCCGAGCAGGCCTCCGCTGCCGCGCATGCCGCGGAGACGGCGGGAGAGGAGCCCGCGCTCGCCTCCTCCTCCTTCTCGTCCTCCAGGGAGGCGGCCGACGTCGACGACGATCTGGCGCGGGGCGAGGCCGAGGGATCCTCCCCCGACGCTCCTTGAAATTTCGTGTCGCATTTGATTGATTCCTTGCGAGAGCTTCTCTCCTCTGCGAGTGTACCGGTGATCTAGCATGGCACGTAGCGCGGACGGTACGTTTCCTCTCTCGGACGACGGACACGTGTGTATATACTATAAAAACCGCCACCCACCTCGCGCGCTCCCCCGGGCTGTGGGTCACGAATGACGAAACACTGCGGTAAACACAGAAAACACACACTCTGCAATTGTGCAAACTGGTCTCGCCACTCGCGTCTCGGGGTGGTGGCCCTGGCCGGCCGCGTGTGTGGTGTGTGTGCGGCACCACGGGCGGCAATCTCGGCGCGTGCACTATACTGCACACCCACCGCGCCGATCTCAGTCAGTGGAGTAGTTGTGTGGGTTGCGCGGCGCGTGTGCACATGCAGCGTGATATGCAGATCAAGATCTCAGACGAGATGAGCCGGCCGGCCCGCAGGCGGCGCGCCGGGGCACAGCGACGTGGACAGAGAGAGCAGATAGAGAGCAGAGCTAAGAGACCAGCTCGAGAGTGGTCACACGAGTCGACTAGACACGTGGCACGACAAATTACTGGGGGACCAGGAAACTCTATAAACAACGCCATCATGACGGCCCGATTGGCGGTGGCGCGCCTGGCGGTAATGTATCGCACTCGGTGCACGCGCCGCAGCCGCCCCAGCTGCATCTCTCTGTCCACGTGTCGGTCTTGCTCGCGCAGAAGGGCCTGCAACTGGCCGCAGACGGCACAACGCATTCGCTACACGCGCCGCAGCCGTCCCAGCTGCATCTCGTCACCCACGGGTCGGTCTTGCTCGCGCAGAAGGGCCTGCACTGGGCCGGCGGCGGCGTCGCGGGTGGTGGTGATGCTGGAGGTGCCGGCGGAGGCGACGGAGGTGGTGGCGTCGGCGGCGGCGGGCTCGGAGGCAAGGCAGGGGGGGGCAACGCGGGCGGCGGCAATGCCGGAGGCGGCGAGGCGGGAGGCGGCGCCGAGGGCGGCGGGACTGGAGGGGGCGGGGAAGGCGGGGGCGGCTGCAGCGGGGTGGGGGGAGGCAGCGATGGCGGCAACGATGGCGGCGGCGGCGTGGGAGGCGGCGGCATGGGCGGCGGCGGCGACGGAGCTGGCGGCATGGGCGGTGGCGTCACGGGTGGTGGCGGCTGTGGCGGCGGCTGTGGCGGCGGTGGCGTGGGCGGCGGCGGGGCCGGAGGCAAGGCAGGGGGGGGCAGCGCATGCGGCGGCAACGCATGAGGCGGCGAGGCGGGCTGGCCCGGCGGCGGCGTAGCCGGCGGTGGCACTGCGGGCGGCAATACGAGACACTCGGTGCACGCCCTGCAGCCGCCCCAGCTGCATCTCTCTGTCCACGTGTCGGTCTTGCTCGCGCAGAAGGGCCTGCAACTGGCCGCAGACGGCACAACGCATTCGCTACACGCGCCGCAGCCGCCCCAGCTGCATCTCGTCACCCACGGGTCGGTCTTGCTCGCGCAGAAGGGCCTGCACTGGGCCGGCGGCGGCGTCTGGGGCAAAATCTGAGAAAATTCGAGAATGGGAGAATTTATTTTTGCGCTAAGGGCCGTTTTATTTTATTTTGCGCGACGAACGTTTTATTTTGGTGGCAAGCCCTTGGGCCGTGAAAGAGACGAAGGATCAGGCCAAAAAGAAGAAAAGAAAACAGAGACCCCAAGGGAGGGATGGGAAGGATCAGGCACCAGGGCGGTATTGGAGCTTTCACAACCGCAGCTTGTTGGAGTATCTTCACAGCCTTGTTATGAGAAGAAAATACGTCGTATGGCGCTATGCGCTAGTCTGTGAGAGGTTGAGGTGCGAGCCCTGGAGGCCCTGGGGATGGGGGGAGACTACCTGGTACCCGCCATGAACACACGGTCGCTCTAGACCCCCATCAGGATCGGCTTCAGCGATGGAGCGGCGCGCCGATTCGCCTCCCGAGCCCTCCGAGAGCCCCTCTCCGCCACCTCCGCCGCCTCCGCACGACGCGCCATCCGCCGACGCCGGTTCCGGCGACGAGGGCCCAGCCGAGCCTGCGCTTGCAGGCTCTGCGCACGAGGCAGAGGCAGAGCCGCCAGCCCCTGCCGAGGAGCAACTGCCAGTCAAGCTCTTTCTCGGCGGACTCTCGCTCACGTCCGGCCTGACTCCTGCCGACCTGCACGACTACTTTTCGCAATTTGGAGAAATCACCGAGGCGCGCGCCATGCGTGTATAGACGCCTCTCTCCTGCCCGGCACGCCCGGCCGCGCTGCGCTCACCTCGAGTCGCGCTACGCGCCGCAGGTCGTCATCAAGCCGCCCTCAGCGGGCTCGCGCCTCTACCCGAGGGGCGCTCGGACTGCGCGCGCCTACGCCTTCATCACGGTTGCCGACGCCGCCACCGCCGAGGCCATCGTTGCGCAGCCGCACACTATCAAGGGGTGTCCGCTCTCGGCGCCCCTGTACGCCAAGTCGACTGCGACCCGCCACGACGGCAGCGGAGATAGCTACGCCGGCGGCGACAGCGCCGGCGTCCGCGGCGGGCGGGTCGGCGCAGCTGGTGGAGGCGGAGGCGGAGGCGGGTATGGAGGCGGGTACGGCGGTGGGCAGGGACCTTACGGCCCGATATACGACGAGAACGGCGCTTGCCTCAAGTGCTTTGCGGGTGGGCTCGGCCACGACGTCACGGAGGCCTCGTTCCGCGCCTTCTTCGAGAACTTCGGCCCGCTCACTGACTCGGTCATCATGCACGACCACCTCACCCGCCGGCCGCGCGGCTTTGGCTTCGTCACCTTCGCCGAGCGTCGGTCGGTGGACGCGCTGCTGAGCAAGCAATACCACGACTTCCACGGCCGCCGCATCGAAGTCAAGCTGGCCGTCCCGAGGGAGGAGTGCAAGGGCGGCAGCGTGGGCGGCCGCGGCACGCGGGGCGGCGGCAGCGGCGGCGGCCGCGGCGGCGGCCGCGAGGACGAGGGGGGGCCGCTCGCCATGGACCGGAGCTTCCTGTGGGGCTCCGGCCTCGCGGCGCCGGGCGGCCCCGTCGTGACGCCCGAGTTCTCCTTCGAGACGTTCGCGCCCGAGCCGGTGTACGGTGCCATTCCGCCGATGGGGCCGATGATGCAAGGCGGCCCTCTCTCTCTGTCTCTCTCTGTCTCTCTCTGTCTCTCTCTCTCTCTCTCTCTCTCTCTCTCTCTCTCTCTCTCTCTCTCTCTCTCTCTCTCTCTCTCACTCACTCACTCACTCTGTCTGTCTCCCTCGCCACAGGCATCGCCACAGGCATCCCTGTGCAGCACGGGGTGTCCCCGCCCTTGACCATGGCCCCGGGCATGGGCATGGTCCCGATGGGCCCCGTCAGCCCCTCCGGGCCGCCGCCCCTCGGGTCCAAGGTGTTGATGCCACCCCCGCACTTTGGCGCACCTCCCCCCTTTGGGTATCCGCCTCCCGCCGGCGCGGCGCTGATGCCCGGCGGAATGCTCCCCCCCGGCATGATGATGGGCGGCGCCTATGCGCCCATGCCGGCAGCGCCACTCGTCTACCAGCCGATGATGCCGGTCGCTCAGGGGCCGCCGGGCCCCAGCCGCGGCCAAAAGCCCGTCGCCGGCCCTGCGTCGGAGGGTGGGGAGGCGTCGTGAGGCAGGGGGGGAGCGGCGGGCTGGAGAGGGCGGCGGGTGCAGCGGGCGGACACGGCAGCCAGCACACCTTGACTACAGTGCCCCTGCGGTGCTCTGGTGCGGCGCGTGCTGTCGGTGTCCCGCTCTCTTGTCTCTGGAACGGCTCGAGCGAGGCGTGAACGATATGGGGCTTGGGAAAAGGGGAGAAAAGGGCTGTGTTGTACTTACACATTGTACGGGGGCGAGAGAGGCGAACAACAGCGGGAAAAGGCGGTATCGCGCGCTTCACAATCTCCGCTCTCCGGGCGCGCACGGGGGGCACGGCGCAGTCTCTCAGGGGGAGAGATTGGATCTCTGTCCTGCGTGTCTCTCGCGTCCGCCCCGTGGCCGCGCGCGTGCAATGGGCGGGGCGCCTGCATGCCTGCTTGCCTGCCTGCCTGCCTGCCCTGGGCTAGCGGTCCCGAGGTTGCGAGACTGCGCACGGCTCCCGTGCCATCGAGTGCCGTCAGTCGCGATGGAACGGCCTGACGGGCGGGTCGCAAAGGAAGTGGTCGAGCCGCTGCTTGTGAAAAGCGCGCACAACTGCAGTGTACGGTTCTTCGGAGTGCAGTCCCGTGAGAAGGGCGAACATGTCCGCCGCAAACGTCTGGCAGTTGCGATTTTGCTCGCTGTACCCCACGTCGTTGCGTGCGCAGTTGAGCACAGCGCGCAAAACGTCGTCGCGCGAGCGATGGCTCAGCCGCACAGGAGCAGAGGCTGCGATGTCCGGGTCGAGAAACCGCCCCGTCGCACCCTCATACCTTTGCAGGAACTTCTTGAACTCGCGCAAGTTTTTGGCACCAACATCGAGCACGCGCACTTCGGACCGGTCTACAGCGCCATGGTCGAACGTTGTTCGACGACGTCGAACACGTAGCGAAAGAGAGACCGTTAGCGGACGTGAATACTCGGGAGCGCGTTCGCGCTTGCGTTTGGACGCGATGTCGAGGAAAGGCAGAAGCTGCCATTCTTTGAAAGCCGGCGGCTTGAAAGGTCAAGGCCAGGCAAGGGCAGCGGAGCCCCAGCAGGCGTGTGGCCACGCCATATGCGCTCTGATGTGGACCGCGTGGTGTTCGAGCCCAGACGCGGTCGCAGGGCCATAACACGGGTCTCCGAGGGATAGTTCCGTGACGGGTGAAATCTTTTCGCTTCCCCACCTTGAATTCTTTTTTTCCGAAGCGCGGGCGGGACAGCAGAACAACCCCGCCCTGTTGTATGCCCGGACGGACGAAGGCTGGCTCGGCCGCCTCCCGGCGCGGGCACGCTTCAGCGGCGGCTACTGCTGCGCCGCTCGCGCTGCCGAAAAGGATCGAAGCGGCGGCGGAGAACGGCAAGGTTGACGTGGTGCAGACGTGGCTCAGCGGGGCTGGGGGGTTGACGCGACGTGCGTGAATCGCGGTGTGAGTGGCTGTACGCTCCTGCTGATCGCCGCCGAATACGGTCACAAGCAGCTGGTCGAACTGCTGCTGAAGCGCGGCGCGGAGGCGGACGCGCGCGATGGCCACGACTGTACGGCGCTGATGGCCGCCGCCCGCTGGGGCTACGAGCAGGTGGCCGAGATGCTGCTGCGGCACGGCGCAGGGATCAACCTGCAGGACCGCAAGCACGGCGTCACCGCGCTGATGTTCGCCGCCTTCCACAACCACCCCGCCGTGGTGCTCCGCTTGCTGCGGGCGGGCGCAGACATGACGTTGCGCGATGTGGACGGCAAGACGGCGCTGCAGCGGGCCAAGGAGGAGGCCCACCCCGAATGCGTCGCCGCCGTCAGGACGTATCTCGGTGAGGTGGCGGCGGACCGGCGCGAGGCGGCGGCGGTCGAGGCGGGCGGCGCAGGGGCGAGCGGCGCACCCGCAGGCGCGGCGGCGGCGGGCGCCAGTGCTGCGGTTTCTGCAGCTTCGAGCGGCGAGGCTGGCGCGGAGGCTGAGCCGAGCAGCGGGGCGGTGCCAGAGGAGGTCGTGCTAGCGGCTGAGCACGGCGACGAGGCGGTGCTGGCGTGGCTCGACGGTGGCGGGCGGGTCAACGAGAGGTTCGAGTACGTCTTTTCGGACGGCGAGCGCGTGAGCGGCATGACGCTGCTGATGCTCGCAATGTCCTACGGCCGCGAGGGGCTGGCCGAAGCGCTGCTCCAGCGTGGCGCGGATGTCTCGTTGCACACCAGCAAAGGCACCACCGCGCTGATGGGCGCCGCCGGGAACGGCCACGAGAAAGTGGTCGAGTTGGCGTTGCGGCACGGCGCGGAGACCAACCGGCAGTGCGAGTTTGCTCCCGGCAACACCGCGCTGATGCTTGCCGCCGCGTATGGCCGCGAGAAAGTGGTCGACGCGCTGATCCGGCACGGCGCGGCGATCGACCAGCAGAACCGCGCCGGCGACACCGCGCTGATTCTCGCCGCTTTCTACGACCACCCCGCCGCCCTCCTCCGCCTGCTGCGGGCGGGCGCAGAAGTGACGCTGCGCACTACGGATGGCAAGACCGCGCTGCTGTACGCCAAGGAGAAGGGCCACGCCAAGTGCGTGCGCGCCCTCGCGGAGCATGCGGCGGCCGAGAAGGCGGCGGAGAAGGCGGCGGCGGAGGCCGAGAAGGCGGCGGAGAGGGCGGCGGCGGAGGCGGCGTGGGCCGCGGGAGCGGCGGAGAGGGCGGCGCAGAGGGCGGCGGAGGAGAAGGAGGCGGCGCGGCACGCCGAGGAGCTGCTGGCGGAGGTCGAGGCGGAGAAGCGCGCCAAGGGCAAGAAGGGCAAGAAGAAGAAGAAGAAGGGCGGCGGGGCTGGGCCGTCGCAGGAGCCCGAGGAGGGTGCCGAGGCGCCGTCGGAGGCAGACGCAGCCGAGGCGGCGAAGAAGGCCGAGGAGGCGAGGCTTCTCCTGCTTCTCGAGACGCTCACCGAGGAGAGGATGCGGTTCGGCATCACGGCGGAGACGTCGGTCGAGGGGCTGGCGGAAGCGCTGGGAGAGGCGGCGGGCGAGGCGAGCGAGGAGGAGGGCGACGAGGAGACGGCGGAGGCGGCAGCGGAGGCGGCAGCGGCAGCGGAGGCGGAGGCGGCAGCGGAGGCGCGCCGGCAGGCTGAGGCGGAGGAGGCGGCAGTGGCAGCGGCAAAGGAGGAGGAGGAGGCTGCCGCAGCGGAGGAGGAGGCGGAGGAGGCGGCAGTAGCGGCGGCCGAGGCAGCAGCGGCGGCGGCAGAGGCGGCGCTCGCCGCAGCCAAGGCGAGGCGCGCCTCAGGTGCCGCTGCGAGGGCCAGGGTGCGGGAGGCGGCCTAGCCAGCGCGCAAGGACAGCTGGCGCAGTGGCAGCCATGGGGAAGGGTCTCTCGTACTCTGGGGTGCGTTCTCTTGTGAACGGTCGTGGCTGTGGGCTGGCGCGCGTGCAGTCCCTCGAGGTCCCGCCGGGAGCTGCTCACGCAGTCGTACGAAGGGTGGGCGGTGGCGTGAGGAAGTGGCATGGCCAATTGCCATAGAGTGCGACCGAGCATGTCTCAGTACTCAGACACCAGTGTGGGCGCCGGTGTGGGCCCCTCAGACTGTGGGGAGCTGCTGTGCTCGCAGCTCGGGAGATGTTGTATTTTACGAGTCTCCCCCCGCGGGCCAAGGGGTTGCCACAAGGAGGCACAACGCCGATCGTCCGGTCCGGCGGCTCGTCTCGGCGCGCTTACACCCGCCCCCCGCCCCCCTCTCGCATGTGCTCCACCGGGACACGTGGAGAAGGCTCTAGAGGCTACCAAGAAACCTTTGTGAGTAGCGAGCACGCAAAATCCAACCCCCAATCCCAAACCCACCAGGGGATACCAGGGGAGCCTTCCAGCGTGCGACGGTGTATCATTCACTTTATGCCACCGTTGCATATCGGGATATGCAACGGTGGCATAAAGTGTGAATGATACACCGTCGTATGACGGTGATCA